AGAGAGGAAACCTCAACTCACCTAGAATTTCTTTTTTTAAGGAAAAAACAAATACAGAAAACTGTTCTGGATGGCAGGAATATGTACATTGAATTATTCTGTGTAGTGTTCTGCCATTTTAAAAAATGCTTATTTTTTTAAAGGAATTTCTTTTTTTTAAAGATTTTATTTTATTTATTTTTAGAGAGGGAAAGGAGGGAGAGAGAGAAACATCAATGAGGGGTTGCTGGGGGTCATGGCCTGCAACCCAGGCATGCACCCTGACTGGGAATTGAACCTGCGACACTAAAAAATGCTTATTAACAGGAGAGAAAAACCCAAATAAGGGCTAATGAATTTGTCAGTCACCTTAATGATAGATGGGTTAAAAATCCAAGCTTCCAAATCACAGAGAATCCCACCTAGCTCACTAGGGGCATAACCGTGGGCAAGTTGCTTCACCAATGCTGCCTTTCAGTTCCCCCTTTTGGGAAGTCGGGCTAACAGTGACACTTATCTCAAAGGATGCTGTGATCCTCAATGGTTAATTCTTTCAACGCTCCCCAGCACTCAGATTGGAGAACGGCCTGTCCTCTAGATGGAACGTTCTGCTCTGAGAGAACCAGGGCCTTGCTGTCGGGTCCTCAGCTGCAGCCCTAATGCCAAAGGACTGTGCTTGGCAAGTGGCAGTGGCTCAAAGAAATGTGTTAAGTGCTAACTTGCGGTACTAGGGAAGATGCTATTTCACTTCCTGGCCCATGATCCTGCTGTTCCCACTGCCAGGAAGCCTTTTCCAACTTGATGCTTCAGCTCAGCCATCAGGTTTCCCGGGAAGGCTCCCCTGAGGCCGGGCTACATGCTCCTCCCCCACACACCCCCAGTGCCTTATGCAGAACTCGGTCGTCTCAACACCTGCCCTGCTACACTGAAGTGATGACGTCTGTGTGGCTACCCCGCTGGAAGCCGTCAAGTGACTGAGAGCATGGACCGACTCTGGGGCCAGACGGCCTGCACTTGAATCCCGGCTGTGTGACCTGGGGCAAATTACTTGAGTCTCAGTTTCTTGGTCTGGAAAATGGAGATAACAACACCTATTTCATAAGGTTCTCACAGGGTTAAAAGAGATTACGTTGGTCTTTGTGAAGCAATCAGAACAGTCGCCGGAACGTAGCAAACGCGATCTCGTTGCAGACTGTGTCTTGCCCGGGTCCGGGTCCGCATCCCCCGCACTGGATGACTGGTACACCAGCCCAAACGAAAGGATTAGTGCCCCAACTAAGTCAGCGGCGATGCAGCTGGAGAAGGGGTGATGGGTATGAGGTGTGTGTAGAGGGGGAAAAATCAACAGAACATGCTGTGTGATTAGAATAAGATGTACCATATAAAAAGATGAAAATTTAGATGGCACCTAAGTTTGAGGATTTGGATACTTGAGGGATTTGGTTCTAGTCACTCAAATAGGAAATACAGGAAGCAAAGAAGAAAAGAGAGAGTTCTTGGCATATTGTTAACAACAAAATGCATCACTGAATGCCTAGAGAGAACACTTTAAAGAGATGATTTGAACCCTGATCAACCATGACAGGAACCCAGCACAGGGCCCCTAAAAGTGTGTAAGTTCATGAAGACAGGGAATTTTCTGTTGTTTGCTTTTTTGTTTCCAGCACCTGCAACAGTACTTACTACATGCCTGACACATGGCATAGTTAGTACTCGCTATCTGTTGAATGAATAAAAGGATGACTTAGGTAAATTTCAGCTTCCAAGTCAATTAAAACAAAAAAGAATTAAATAAGCATCTATGTGTCCAGCGTTGTTTTAAATTCCTTCAGGGAATACGGAAGAATGTACTTCCTTTGTACCCCCTTTTGCATAACATCAGTAACTTGCTGTTACGAAGCACAAAACGCAGACAAGTTCTGAGGAAGGGTCGGCACAGGCTGTAACAGTAAGGAGATTTACTGGTGTTGAATCTAAGCCCAGCAGTGAAATGAGCAAGATTTGAACAAGATAAAGAAATTCCAGGGTGACTGGTATGAATAAAGTGATTATGATGCAAAAGAAAGGGTCCCAAGAAACCAGTAAGGAGTTTTGGTGAAGTGGAGCTAGACTTGGGGAAAAGCCACATAGAGGAAAGGCAAATACAATGTCAACTCTCTCCGAAACCTGATCTCATTTTCCCCATTCCCAAACAGACGCATCGGCTCAGAACTCCACACAACAGTGTTCCTTCCAGGCCAGCCTTTATCGCTCTGCATCATTATGACTGTCGTGCACCGACCTCCCCTGGTGGACCATGTATAAGTTGGTTGAAGACAGAGTATGTCGTCTGAGCATCCCATATGCCTAGCAAAGTACCTAGGACATAAAAGACTTACGACTGTGTGGGTAACAGAGGGAATTTAGATATATTTTAAAAGCCAATAGATAACTTTGCAGGTGTTAGGGCAGACGGGTAACATGAAGTAGATATTTAAAGATTAGCCTCTCACTTCACTGTAATTTTGAGTTCAATGGAAAACTAAAGCCAGCAGAATAAACCCAACTTAATCTCCAGAGCCCTAAAAACTTGATTGAAATTCAAATGCAATTATAAACACCTTATCTAAACATTCAAATAAAATTTTTTCAGAATGTTTCCCAGGTTTATCATTACCTCTGTTTTGATATATGGGCACACCTCATTCTATCGTGCTTACTTTATTGTACTTGACAGATACATTTTCTACAAATCAAATGCAAGACCCTCCACCAGCAAAAAGAATACATCTCACTGAAGGCTCAGAGATGGTTAGCGTTTTTCAGCAATAAAGTTTTTTTTCCACATTTTTATTTATTGATTTTAGAGAATACAGGAGGAAGGGAGGGAGGGGGAGAGAGAGACAGAGAGAAACATCGATTTGCTGTGCCACTCACTTATGCATTCATTGGTTGATTCATTGGTGTATGTGCCCTGACTGGGGATCAAACACGCAACCTCGGTGAATCAGTATGAGGCTCTAACCAACTGAGCCACCCAGTCAGGGCAGCAATAAAGTATTTTTCTTTCTTAAAGACTTTATTTATTTACTTGTAGAGAGAGGGGAAGGGAGGGAGAAAGAGAGGGAGATAAACGTCCATGTGTGAGAGATACATCAATCAGTTGCCTCTCGCACACCTCTGACTGGGGACCTGGCCTGCAACCCAGCATGTGTCCTGACTGGGAACTGAACCAATGACCTTTTGATTCACAGGCTGATGCTCAATCTACTGAGCCACACCAGCCAGGGCAAAGTATTTTTCAATTAAGGTGTATGCATTATTTTTTTACTCATTAAATGTACATTTAATAGACTACATATATAGTATAAACATAACTGTATATGCATTGGGAAACCAAAAAACTCGTGTGACTCATTTTCCTGCAATATTGGCTTTATTGCAGTAGTCTGCAACAGAACTGCAGTATCTCCGAGGTATTCCTGTATACACATAGTCAAAAGTAAAAATTATACAATCCGCAAAACAAAACAAAAAAACAGTGTTATTCAAATTCAATTGGCTCCTTTTGTACTGAGATTAAAAGTAAAATTTTATATTGAGGAAGGTTAGTGTACTAATCTTGGAATGTAAGAAGGCGTTTCACGGTAGACAGCAGAACTACGGGCAGCCTGAATACAGGGGCATTCCATTCACTTGAAGCAATAAGTCATTCAAATTCTGGTATAAAATCTCTCTCCGTATTTAAATTCCATGTACCGCTCAAAGTATACTGACAACTACATGATGATCAAAGCATAAACATCATAAAATGAATAAACCATACTGCCCAATCATCTTTTGTAGCAGTCTTTCAATTGGGAAAACAGACTTTAGAAGTAATCTATTTGCTTGTATACAACAAATTTTAGACAATCTTCAACTTAAACTAAAGCCGCACTTTTTCAGTACAAAATCTTTTAGCTAAAAGATCTGGGGGCTACTAAAACCTGAAAGAAAGATAACAAAAATTTCTGGGTGCTTAATAAACATCAAATATACCCTAGCTGCAAAATATATGAGTTCAGCTAGAAAAGTAGAATTGCACTTGCAGCCAACAGTAATCATAATTAAGTTACAGGAGGACGTTGTTTTTCTTGTCATCTTTATTCAAGTATTTCACAGCAGTTATATTACAAATTACAGTAAATGTTCAAAATTCCAGAATTCAAAAATTAAATAATTTACTTCAAACTAATGTCAAATGAAGTCAAATGCAAAACATCAACTTAAGACAATTCTAAATTAAACTACAAACCCAAAACAGACCATAGTAATGAAGTCTACTTAAACCTACAAAGTAGACATACACGACTGAAACCAAGGAGGACTCCCAAAGCCTAAGTAACTGAATGTACAAAGTACGAAAGATGCAGGTACAAGCCCAAATTCAAGCTTACAATGTGATTACAAATAATAATTATAGCAACAATGGCATTCAGCTACGGGACCTGACACGGACGATAGCCACTGAATAGCACCATAGCTGAACCAACTTAATCAAAAAGTGGGAATATATTACCACCCCACTCCCTAAAAATAAACTCCAGTAAACCTACAAATACATTGGCATATGAGAAAAATCAAGTCATGAAAGGATGTAAAACAAAACAAAACAAAAAATCACAGGTGAGATTCAAGCTCAAAAACACAATTCCACAGCCATCAGTTTCAATCCGAGTGCGGTTCCATCATCTTCACACGGCTCCCGTGGCGCCCACAGCTGAGCACCAGCCCTTGTTGGGCTGCGCCGCCACACGGCACGTGTCTCACTGATCTGGGAGCAGGCTCCGCAGGGAGCTCATCGTTTATAATGCTCACAATAGGAAGTAAGAACAGAGGTCAATTTGTACATAGTTTTGCCAATGCTATACAGCAAAAATTAAGAACTTACAGAAAAGTAAACACAATTGAGTCTACTTGGATCATTTCACAAGCTGCTTTAAACTATAGAACCACCAGATATCTGTAAAATAAGCGAACTGGTATAGTGTGCATCTTTGGGGGGGGGGGGGAACGGCAATGGAGGAGTTGGTACAATTTCAGCTCATTTTTCTCCCCTTGGTATTTGATTGGCTTTCTGTTTAAGACCTAAACTGTTCAAAGTGGCAGTTCCTATCATACTGAGGTTGCCTTCTCTTTCTCCATCTATATCAAGGTTAAAATTTTTAAAAACTTGATCTTTTGGAAGCATTTTAATGCTGAACGTAAATAAATTCCCCTTGTCAAACTCACTGATGGCTAAAATCTTAATAAACTTGTACGAATTTAGTAACCTACTAACAACATGTGCGCTTTTATTTTCCTTTCACAAGTGCTGCTGTTACTTGAACAGAATGCTTCTGAATTAGAGTAACTGGAATAAATATTTAAAAAAAAATAGTGCAGCAAGAACCTGAGACTTGCAAAAAACCCTTTTACCAGAAACTTGCTACAAAAAATCTGCTACATCTTATTTCTTCATCAAATCTTTAAATTCTGTAACAATTTCCCTCAAAATACAAAATGCTAATATGTATTAGACAGTAAAATAGTCTAAACTGGTATGATGGTAATAAATACTAAAGAAAGCATGATAATCCTCCCAATAATCAAATTAGAGGCTTCAAATAACCTCCCTTTAAAATGGTTCATCGTTAATCGCACTTGCCCACCTTAAAAATACAGTGTGTCTACATGGGTAGCATCTTGAATCCTATGACTATTATGAAAATTTTAGACTATGTATAAAGGAAACAAGTGGCGTTTTTCAAAACTGAAGCGAGAGCCAGAAGGCGTGACAGGTCAGTGTGAATGCAGAGAAGCACTTAGGATTACTGCAGTAGCCTGTGGCCGCCGAGTTCCTGCCGCCCGGCACCACGCGCGCTGCGAGCAGCCAGAGACAGGAGACAAGTACCTTAGCTTCAGCGTGTAAACGGTGGCAGAGTGATTACAGGGCTCTGTAAACACTGTTGGTAACTGAAATACAAAAAGCTGAGGTAGCTCAGTATCTCTGCAGTAGTCCAAGACCATTTGCTCCAATTAAAACCCAACCTCCATGTGTTGCATATACTGGAAAGACACCTGCAGCTAACTAACAGCTATAATGAATGAAGCTATCAAGCCAACTTGTCAAAATTTTCTACTTTTTTGTTTAAAAATCATCTGATAAAAAAATGTCACTGTACTCCCTTTGCCTCTTTGTAACTGCCTAGATTGTGTCTCCAAATTTGTAGGTTTTGTAAATCTCGTAACCCATAATTCATTTTAGATAAGTACAACTCACAGAAATCACTCAACAAGATCCAAAATGGATTCCAATCAAAATGAATATTTGTGAAAAGGTCAAACTTATGGTAAGGGATTTAAATGTTTAATACTGTTATTCAAAGGACAATACCAGAGCTCACTTGCAACTGTGCATATAGAAAATTAATTTTTGTGGAGCTTCTGACAAATTCCTCTCTGTCCATTTGGCAAGCCCTGGCTTTCAAACAAAACAGCAGTAATTTACTGTACATGATCATCATTCTTCTCTAGGAACTCAGACACGAATAACTAGTCAATTGCCACTGACAGAGGAAAGAACATCTACTATCTATTTATTTTCTGGTCATCACTGCCAGTGGCGCCAAAAAGCTTGTGGGGTTTTTGGTGGACTGTGGATTATTTTTGTTGTTGTTTTATTATGTGTTTTGATTGAGTTTTAAAAACAAGCTAGGCATTTTATACCCAAACACTGGTTGCTTCTTAACGACACAGAGTATCAAAACTTATTTTTAAGGTTCTGACCAAAGAAAACATTTTAATTCATTTGCTACAAACAAGCCCATCTTTTTGTTTAGCCTTATCTTCCTCAAATGAATAAAAAGGCACATTAAAGGCAGTTCTAAAGAGCCTAATCTAATTTCATCCAGTTTCTTCAGTTCCCCATCAGAATATACCATAGCCAACTCATAAACAGGTTTCAGTACATTACCCAGAGGAAAAAATAGAAACAAATATGATAAAAGGGATAGAAAAGAGAAAAATATAACAGTTTGCCCACTGTTTAAACAATTCAACACAGTTAGAACTGCCCGCCATTTCCTCGCGTCTGCTGGTCCGCTCCCCGAGAGAGGGAGGAGTCTCCGAAGGGGAGTGCACGGAAAGAGGAGCAGTGAGAGCAGTTTCTGTAGCACCAAAATCTCCAATCTGTGGGGTTGTATTTTTTATTTGTGGAAAATACAACATGTTTTTGAAGTTCTGTTTGGTTCTTGTAGGCTGGTTGGTTTCAGGTACCTGAGACAATAGCACCAAATTCAACAGAGAGAAAGAATGAGTGAGCGAGCACTTTACACCAAGGCTCTGCACGTAATTGGTGCAATTTGAAATTGAATGGCTCAGAAGACTGCTCTGTCAGGAGCAGATTGGAGAGGATAAACCACTCATCTTGAAAAGTTCATAGGAATGTCTCAAACATATGAACTGTTCTTTCCATCTCCTACAAAAAGGAAAAAAAAGTACATGTCATCTATTAAAGGAAAAACCAGTTTTTATGGGAAAATTTGCTTTAACTTTTTAAAGAAAGCATTTTAGACACAAGTTAAGTATTTTCCTTACAACACCATAGCTACTCTGTAAGACTATCTGCCCTAGGCACTTCCAAATGCCTCCTATTTTACATTTAGGCTTATAAGGATGATGCTAGAACACTCCACAAGTACTTATTATGCCCGATATTGTGCTAAGAAATTCATGTATACGAATAATTTGTCAGCTAATAAACAGCAGAGTCGGGATGTGAATGCAGGTGGTCTCACTCCAGAGCCTGAGCCCTTTCTTATTCATCATATTCAACTAACTCCCAGCGCAAAATGAACACATCAGGTACAGCAAAACTTGTACAAGAAGTAGAATACACCCGATCCCACTGCTCTACACTCCAACCACAGCTGGAAAAAGAAACAAACAAATAAACAAACAAACAAACAAAAAACAGGAGCCGCTGCTATCACCACCCCCAGGAATGCCACTGGCTGGAGATTCTGCTGTAGACCACGCCCCTCTCTCAAGAAGGTCCCGGACAACCAGGCTCCAGGTGCCACACTGAAATGGGTTTCACTGCTGAAGAGCATTCAGTGCATTCAAGCCAATCAAATGTCAACAATGTGAATAAGGAAGTTCTAGAATAAGGGGAGGGGGAAAGTAAAGAGCTCTACCCCACACATCTCATTCAGATGGACAAACATCAAATATATCTAAGACATTTGGTTTTCCACCTCCAGAGATATTATAATCTACATTCTGTAGAACTAATAGGCTATACTAACAGAGTGTCACTGAGCAAAAAGTTCTTCTATATGAACAACCAAAATCACTCCTGCTAAATGTTTCATTACACATTGCTGGGCAGGAAAAAAACCAGGTTATAAGACAAAATATACAATACGATCCCAATTTAAAAATACATATTCACATACTTACACATGTTACACACATCTAGACATTTTTAAAGGATGAGATTATTCACAAAGATAAACACTAAGTAGTTTCCTCTAGATGGGAGAAATATGGATGCTGTCTTCACTTTTTCATTTGTGGTTTCCTATTATTTCTGTATGTTTTATAATGACTAGTATAGGTTTGCAAAACTATGACTTATAAAAATGTGATTATAATTTTTAAACACTCTTAATTTGATTCAAGTCCAATATTCTTATTACACATGGAAAATAACCCCATCCTTTACACACACATCTTTAATATACTAGAAATGCTCCTTGAGAGCAAGGGCTTTTCCTGAGTTACTTTTGCAGCCCAGGCACACCAAGCACAGTGTCTGGTACTGTAGGTCCTTAATAAATATTCAATAACTAGACCACCAGATAAACTAACAGGCACGTGAACAGAGACAGTCTCATTAAGTCACTTAGCCACACGGCGAGTAGATGAGGGATTACATTTGCTCAGATGACCTCAAAAAAGCAGAAGTCCACACTTCATGATGTAAATTATATGAACAGAGATATAAGCTCATATTTGTAAGGAAGCACTGTCTTATGTCCCAGCGTTGTTTAAAAATAGACCAGTGTACCTCTGAAGGATCTAAACAAAAGGATGACGACTCCTCCACACAGCTATCTGGCAGAACTAAATCTGTTTACCTGAGATACTTTTAAGTTTTCTCCCAACCATTAGCTGGGAGCCAACAGGCCTCACTGCCCACGCTCGGCAGCAGCTGCCCGGGGCAGCGGTGAACACTGAGAGGCCATGTCCACATTCAGAGGGACTCGGTGACACACCTGCTCAGTGATGTCAGCTATAAGGAAGGACGGGGAGAAATGCCATACGCTGTTTTGTGTTCTTGGCACCCAGAACCATGATTTTCTGTGTTTTGATAAATAAAAAATCCCAGATACTTCTCTCCTGAGACAAAATGGAATAACTTTATTCATCAAATTACAAAATGATTAACCTAATCTTAAATCTCCAAAACATTCTTCAGTCACTTGGTAAAAGACATAGACGGAAACAACTGTTCTCTGGGAAAAGCAAAAGCACGTCCTTGTTTGTCCTGCAGATGAACCAAGCACTTACCTCCATTAGTTGCGATTTGTCATAATCTTTACGGTGACGATAGATGCACTGACTAAGAAGAGAATACAATCTCTCAAGTTGATCAACTGCCAGATTGCTGCTTTTATCTACCAACAAATCAAGCAATTTCTAAGAAAAATTAGAAAGAAAATAAAATGAAGTTTGATTTCACTATTCAAACTGAAACGTTATATCCTGTGGCTAGGCAATAGACACTACAGGCGATGAAATAACAATGACACTGAGCTTATGAGTTTAGAGGATTCTAGGGCTTAGTTTATTACCAAGACAATTCTCGTATTTCTAAACCCCAAAATGCACACATAACTTTTTCTACTGATAGCCCTAAAGCACTGATAGTCCTAGTTAAAGCAAAAGATGATCCAAACGAGGTGTACTCGGTCGCCCACTGCACACACTCGAACCTCTTCCCACTCACTTGCGGCGGGCTGGGAAGAGGAGCTCACCTTCAGTCTCTCGTGATCAACCACGAGGGGCGGCACGGGCTCGGACGGCTCTTCGGGAACCAGTTCCAGGGTGGTGGTTTTTGCCTGCTCTAAAATTAACTTACGATATTTCTTTACTTTGGAAGCACCTACAATTGAGAAAAAAAAATGCACTGCAGCAAGTAAAAGTTAAGAAAAATCAGGCTTAAACAACTATACATTTGGTTACCCACCATAAATCCTTTTTGGAGTAAGAGTGTATTCTTTAAATGATAAAGGATTTTTTCTGTAAGAATAAGAAACCCAGATGAAAGAGAACTAAACCTCAACTATGAAAGCCAAGTCAACTAGAATATCTAATAAATACATTCACCAGATGGAAGATAAAAGTAATCTTTATCTCTAAGCACTAATAAAAACAGCCATCACTCTCTTTATGATGGTAATCACTTTAAAATTTGGAGCTTTCAGAATCAGAGAAAGGGAAGCAATCTAAAAAAGCAGATACTAACACAAAGTGAGGCCAACCTGTCTACATATCTGCCTCCTAAAGTAAAACATATTCCTGAACACTGCCGAAATTTCTTATTTTTTCTCTATTACACTGCCTAGACTTCTATTATAAATTGATCTGGGGTATAACATCTTTTTCTTAAAAATCTGGACCTATTAAAAGTGTAATAGGGCTAGTGATTTTTCCTAGCTTAGAGTGGATTAGTATAATTTAACTACTTTCCTCCCAACATCTTGCTGAGATAAAACACATTGAAAAAAAAACACACACAAAAATCTTGAGATGGCTGAGCATAATTTGACAGTACCAGGTATGTGAACCCTGCGCTCCCCTAAGCAGGAGCACTGTAAGAGGAGGCCGAGGGGGAAGGAACGCAAAGATGAACTTGGACTACTTCAGAACTTTCATCCAGGACCTGGCCCATGTCAGGGACACTAAGAACTTCCCTCCCCCTTCCTGCATTAGTCCTCTTACCCCCAAGTCTTTAAACAATTATCTTTCTTTAATACCTATGTAAGTAAGAATAAAAATGTTGCCTTCAAAAAACATATTCCACACTACATCAGAGACATTTTCTATTTCAGACAGCCTTTAGAATGACAGCCTTGATTTACAGGTCGGTTAACGTACACTAGTGCTGTTAAGCCCACGCTGATGCTCGCTACTACGCCTGTGGACTTCCAGGGGGCTGAGAACTTCGATGAGGAACCACTGCCCCAACAGTTACAAATGAGAACTTCGGGTAAAGCGTGTACACAACAAACACCTTGAACGCTTCTAGATCACCAACTGAACGTAATAGTAATGCGAGCCTTTCCTGCAAGCTCCCTAAAACCTCATGCAGCAGCAGCATGAAAACGGGTCCCCCCACACCCCTTCCGCCTCGGCATGCAGACTTCTCCCATCTTCCTGCTCCATCCCGTTCATCACTTAACCTTGGCTTCACACATTTTAAAGTTCCGTCTGCATGACAGCCCACAATAAATACAGCTCTTAAAACTATTTCCTCTTATTAAATATTGAAAAGGAAATTATTTAAGAATAGTATTTAAGAACAGTACATCTCTTTATCCATTAAAAAAATTCTAAGACACTGAATAATATCTTCCTACTTCCTATTTCTGCTAGAGGGCTCAAAAAACTGGCAGCAAAAAACTTTTCCCACCTAACCCAAATCCCAGGCTAAGCATATATTCCACGCGATGTAGAGAGCACAAGTTATAGACATAACTTCAAGACAGACTTGTGTAAGAAGAGCACCTGTTCAGGAAGGAAATATATATGGAACAGGGTAGATATCTAACTCACCCCATCCCACTATGAGCTAAAGAACAATGATAAACGAACAGGGGCTAGGAATCCTCAACACCCCCTTTCTGCCGCTTCTTAAAAGAATCACAGAGCCATAAAAAGCCAGGAGCTGGCAGAGTGCTCCAACTGTGAGAACAAGGTAAATTTAACAGTGAGGGTTCTGCTGCTTTCCTCTACCAGTAGCCCTACAAAGCACCCTCAGATTCAACTATCAGCGACTACTAGAATTAATATCCTTCGGTATATGCCAGATACCAGGCAGGGCAATTAATATACATGACATATATAATTCCTGCAGTGACACCATTCTCAAGTTTAATTTAAACACGAAAAAACAGGGTTGGAGAGTGTAAGTAACTAGCTCAAAGTCACATGATTACAATGAGCAGGAATGGTCGTTTAATGTGGTCTGTATGGCTCAAATATACCACACTGCTAGAGTATCCAAGTCTTCTCAGACCACCCCACCCCAGTAATTCTTTTGTTAGAATTCCATCTTCTCAACACCTGTGGGTGTACTCAATGCTTAGTCATAAATCCACTAGGATAGGGTGGATAATCAGGTGGGAGCCAGAAGTGCAAGTGGCCAGGAAAGCAAAGCATTCTGGACAATAAACCCTCTGAAACATTCACCAAAATTTCGTATGTATGTGTATGCTCTTCTACGAAAAAAGGATGAAAAATTTAACAGATTCTCAAAGGGGTGTAAGTTATTTGGCAACTATTATTACTGGAGACCGAACAAAATATGCAATTAATTAACTCTGGAGCTTACACCTTCAGAAGATTTATTAAAATATTATCTCTACCTTCTTTATCCAGTTCTGCATCTTTAACCTCCACATCGGGGCCAGGCTCTGACTTCTCATTACTGCTGCATTCCAGGGCTTCCAGCTTCTCGGGGTCGTCTCCATGGCTCTCATTCAAAGCTTCCGGTTTTCCTTTTGACTGGTCCTCCGGAAGAATCTTTTGTCCAGAACTGCATTTATCTCCGCTACTACAGAAAGAAACTACTTCAGCTTTGCCGTCCTGACACTCGAGAACTGGTATGCCTTCAAAACTGTCAGTGGAGGCCTCACCGTTTAGACAGCTTCCTCTAAGGAAAGGCTCCTTCCTAGAAGCCTGCTCTGGGTTTAGAGAGCTGCTGCTGTTGACCAGTAGAGACTCGTTCGAACTTTCCTCTTCAGTAGATGCAAAGTTCTCTTTCGTGCCGGCTCCACTGTTCAGCCTCTGCGCCTGGTCCATGTCCATGATGTCACACGAAGACTCGTCATTGGTCATAGATAAGTCTCCAGCATCCTCCCCGTTTTCTTCATGGCAGTCAGTGCTGACCTCGAACTCGCCGTTCTCCAGCGACTTCCTGCCCTCTGCGTGGTTCTCACAGTCTGCAAATTTGGTGTCTTCTTCGTCTTTTTTTAAATTGTTGACCTTCCTTTTCTTAATGATTCCTTTACCCCACTGTGATCGCCGCCTTGATTTTCTCCGAACTCGAACTATTTTACAAGGAAGGAAAAGAGATATGTAGAACTTGGAGTGCGACACTTGTTTCACAGATGTAAAATAAGACTCGAACAAGAGTAAACCCATCCCGGTGCAACACACAAGCAAAATCTACTTCGCTCCTGGCACCCGTCCTGACTAACCCTCACGACTCCAAGTGGAATGGATATGAAGTCAGGGATAAACTCGAAAGTGTTAAAATTTGTTAAATTTCTTTCCTGTATACTACCCAGCATTAATTTTTTTCTATTACCCCAGATTCCACTTTATCGCTGTTCCTAATCCCTAACGTCCAGGGTCAAGCACATAATATTCACATTTAGGAAATGAGCACATTACCAGGCCACCTGGAAGGTTTGGGGTGACAGCCCTGGATTTCCACCAAAAAGGTGGAGTGTTTTGCCACCAAGATAACCCCAAAGCACCTAAACCATGAAAATAAAGGCATGATCCAGTGTATCAAGACAGAATAGTTACAGGTACCCCCACAAATAAATCCCCACTGCCTGTCCTTCCAGAAGACAGAATAGCCCACAGTTAACATGGTCATGGACAGAGGCCCCATGAAGGTTACATGGACAATCTGGTTAGCTGACAGTGAGCCTTGACTGGCTCACCTAGTAGAATCAATTTCTTGCGAAGTTGTTATTTGAAAATATGTAGGAAAATTAAGTCCTCTGCTATTAAGGTGGCAGGCAACACCACTAACAATAAAAATAAATGTTTAGTCAGTTACATGACAATAATGACCTACCAAAGTCGTAGGGAGTATACTCTTAGGTGCTACAAACTATCATGAGCTTTATGAGTATTTTATGAGCTGGTACTTCCAAGGAAAGATGGACCCAGGATTTTTAATCCCATGTATGTATCAAAGATAGTTGGTTATGCAATTCTATCCTACTTTCCCTTAAATAAGTAAAAAGTTAACTCTTATTTTGCAACTTGGAATAAATGCATAAAGAAACTGAAATATTATATAAAAGTTATTAAAGCAAACTAGTTAAACTAGACACCTATCACTTCTGGTGTCTAACACCAAATTCTACATATTAGCTTACTGAAAACTATCAGCTTACTGAAAACTACTATCAGGTAAAAATAATTCATTTTTCCCTAAGACCATAAAAGTAATGTCGTCTGGCTTAATTTTTTAAAAAATAGTACATGTTTTTAATATATAAAAATTGAAAAGCTTCCTTGGAAAGACATTTTAAAAAGGGAATACAAATATGAGAGCACTAAGTGCAGACTGTTTAATCCGCAGTTTAAAAATTGCTTTTGGAAGAGAAATAGAAGGGAATATGGTCTTATGACAATGCTTGTTTCTTATATTCTACTGCTTAATATAAACGTGTGATCTATCAACAGTGTATAGTGTGTTTACATACTTTTTTCATCTTTAATTTGTACTGAGTTTCTGTAAAGATACCAAAGTCTTCACAAGAAATGAACAAATTTATTCTTATCTAAGAATAAATCTACTAAAGGTTTCCAAAATTCAAGTTAGTCACTTGGCTCAAAATACATTTTGCCTTCAAAACTGTAATATTAGAATCATCTCTCCTTTTTTTTTTACCCTGTTAATTTCTATTTACAATTTATAGTTACAGGGAAGTTGGAGAAGAAAGTTCTGTATTAGTCTTCTGTGAGAAGCTGGACACAAGCTAAAGTGATGAATATTCATAAGCATTCCATTAACTATATGAAAAACTAATCTAGTCCACACAATGGACTAGTCCACATAGTTTAGTCCACATTTTTTCATTAAAAATGATAAAAAAAAATGTAGCTGCTCTTTCTCTAAAAGGTGGAACTGTTAGGTCTTTACTTCCTAACAAGTCACTCCTGACATTGTGGTCTCACTTTTCCTCCAACCACGTAAACAAAAATCCAAATGGTTTCCCCTTTTCTTTCCTCATTAAGCCATGGAGCTCCAGAGCAAGAGGCTGAACTCCACTCAATCAAGAGCCAGACCAATTACTTGATATGTAGGTGGTACACTAAGCAAAGGCCAAAAGCCCTACTGCAGCAAATTTACTTCTAACACTTTCACCACAGCTAAGAACAGAGAAAATGTTCTCATTTGCAAGGATGTCAAACTACAGAAAATTTCCCCCTCTTTATATAACTACTTTTAACAGCTAGTATGATTTTACTAAAATAAGAGAAATATAAGCTCCATAAGAATGGGGATTCTTGTTTAGCCACTGCTGAATCTCCGTAGCACCTCGTAGGTGGTAGGAGTATATATTTATACTACTTCCTTTCTCAAGGATGCTTTGTGCAAAAAGCCCTTTTAGAGGTACAGTCTTTAGAGTCCATTTTTATAGCATCTCTGAGCTTGTTTCCAAAACTAGGACCTTAGGAAAGCAACTCTGCCTTAGTAACATTTAGATTTAGATTAACTTACTTATGATTTAAGTAAGTTAACATAAAAAAGACATATGATGAGTCACATATGCCATCTACTGGTAAGAGAAAACAAGACTCATTTGTAGATTAAAGTAATATTTTAATATTTAAAGGAACTTAGATTGCTTAAAGCCTATATTCATTTGTTTTAGTTAGAAAATATTTGTGTCAAGTGCAGAGAATGTAAAGGATTTTAAATTTTAGAGTGTTGTGTTACAGAATCCAGGTCATGACTGAGACACAACTAGGCCAAAAAACTTTAATCAGCATCATGGAACCAAAGGCAGCACTAAGTGCTTCCAATTTCCTCATATATTAATGCCTTATCACAAAGCAGACAAGCTAAAAAATAGGTATGGTTCATTCATTCAAGTTCAGTGCCACTGGGAAAGAACGTGTTACGGCCAGCCTCCCTGACAGTTGGAGTGGCATCAGAAGATGCAGAACAGCATCTACCTTCCAAGGATGGCTACCTTCCGTGAAACATAAGCACTGCATTAGAAAGATGCTATGTTTATTAACATTTGTCTTTTAGAGAAAAAAATAAAACACTGAATATCCCCTCTCTAAATAGATCTCTTAAACAAAACTAGATGAAGAAGGCTATACAGATCTTTCAAACTGAGTAAAAAATATTCTCTCAAAAAAATCAACCTCCTCCCATTGAATCAGCCACTCCATTCAGCCTGATTTTCCATTTTCCACCAGAAAGACAATATGCTGCATCGCACACAGCAAGGGGCTGGGGCTGGAGGCAGGTGGGAAAAAACCTATTGGCTCTATATCTCTATCTTAACACCAAAGTTGAAAACTCAAGCTACTCAAACCTAGTTCGATTACAACAGCAAGTACTGAAGAGGGATAGAAAAGAGCAAACAAGGTGAGAGAAATGCATTTCTGATTCAGCCTTTTATCCCGCAGGCTCTTCACCTCTGGAGAGCTAGAAGAGGAAACAAGCAGTGGGCAACAGCGCGCCTGGTCTGTCGACCGGGTCCCCAGGGATCCACATCACTCGTGGTTGTCCCCGCACTGGACAGCATGACCTCAAACACTCACACGCACATTTATTGGCAGAGTTGTGCCAGGCATCCATTGGATTTCTTTGTTTGTGCCGAAATGCCTCTTCAACTCTAGTTTCTGTCTTCCGAGCCCCAGTACCATGAGGATTTATTTGTTCTGCTGTTACCGATAAGCCTGCAAGCAGAAGATAAGAAATACCTATTTAAATATTCCCAGTTAAATAAACCAACAAGGCTTTAAAAAAAGTCTAAAATACAGAACTGAGTTTTAAAGTCATTAATTATACTTAGACAGTTTTTAATTTGGATGAAAATAGTATCTTTTGTTTTAAGATGGGAAGGAAACTAGATATAAAATCATAAAAATAAAATAACCTGGGAGGTAATGCTTACATTTAATCCCCAAAGGGGCCCTATGTATATGCTCATTTTAATTTGCAAAGGGACACATTTCACATTTTTATGACTGTGGGGTAATAGATTATATGTTGTCTAAAAGTTATGATTTCTGCCATCTTAGAATGTGTAAATGTTTAATGGGCCAGCAAACCCCATGGAACTGTTTCCCTCTGATTCTAGCTGCCTGTCACATCCCACTGCAGTTGAGTTTGGTTTTCCTACATTGATCTTCATAAGAGTAACCATTCCATCTCAGTGTTCACTAGATTTCTTTGTTCTGTGTCACTCTTAAATGTTGATGTTTCCCAGGTGGTCTCTGGAATTGCTTGTCTTCTCACTCTGATCTACTTTCTACCACAAAGTATCATTCATGCCTTCAGCTTCCACTACCAATGTACAATGATTCCCACATCTACTTTTTGAGCCCAAACATTTCTTGGGCTTTTCTAATCCATACAGCCAACAGCCTATGTGAGATCTGCAACTGAGTCTCCTAAAGAGGCCAGATGCTCTCTCCCCACAAAACACCTGCTCCTCCTTGTAATGGCAGTACTGGCGTCTAAGTCACTGAACCAGTAACATGGCAGTCACTCTCAACTCCTCCTTCCCTTCACAATGCCCTTCGCCCTGCAGCCATATCTTATGTTAATTCTATTTTCATCCCCATTTCACTAATTAAAATTCTGAACTACTGCAACAGCTTTTTCTCCCAACAGCGTTAGTAAAGTACAATTTACATAACATAAAACTCACTCCTTTTTAAGCATACACTTACATGATTTTTAGTAAATTTTCAGTGCTGTGCAATCACTACAGCAACCCAATTTTAGGTAGCTTGCCCCGGGAACCACCAACCCTCGGTGTGTCTCGACAGGCTCGCCATCTGTGAGCATTCCGTGTAAATGGAATCGTGCCTATGCGGTCTTTTCTGACTGGACTCTCACACTTAATGGATGTTTCTTAACTTCATCTATGTTGGAGCATGTATCACGACTCTGTTCCTGCTTTGTTCATGCCTGCTGAGTGGCATGCCAGCTATCATATGACATACCCTATTTTGCTTACCATTCACCAGCTGACAGACACTCATGTTGCTTCTAGATTCTAGTTGTGAACAATGCTGCTACAAACATTCATGTATATGTCTTTATATGGGCATATGTTTTCCATTTCTCTTCAGTAGATTCCTAGGAGCAGAATCACTGGGTCGTATGGTGAATGTTATTTTTAACTCTTTAGAACTGCCAAACTGTTTCTAAACTGGATCCAACAGTTTTTAACTGGTCTCCCATCTTCCTACCCTGAGCCCTGAGCCCTTGCTGTTTCCTGCTGCCAAAGCAATTTACTAACTTGTTCCCCTGCTTAAAACACTTCAATGACTTCTACCAACTATGGCAATGGTTCTTAAACTTTAATGTAATCAAAAACCTCTTGAACAGTTTAAGTGCACAGTTCTCGGCCTTACTACTCTCAGAGAGTCACTAGGTCTACGCTGATGTGGGCAACAGGCACACCATTTTGATAAACACTGGCCTACGAGACAATGGCATCAACTCATTCAAGCACTGATAGAAACCCTGCTGTATATTAGACACGGTTTTGGGGACCGCAGGAAGGCTATGGACAAGACATTCACAGCACTAAACGAGGAAAGGAAAGACAACAAAAGCTACAACAAAGTGCCAAGTGACTATGATGACCAGAGCCTAAATAGAGTAGATGGCCAGGAAAGGCCTCTCTAAGAAAGCAGCAGAAAAGCTTCTTCATAATTTCAGTCTCCTGGGCCCAGCTCACCTCTGGAGCTCTAGTTCTCACCATCTGGTACATCTTTAGCAATACCAAACAGTTAGCAGTTCTTCTAATATACCACATGATCTCACTTACACACACTACTGTGTGCTGTGCTCACAAATACCGCCTCCTTCCCTGTCCCCCCTACCTTCCTCTGCTCCACCAGAGACAGCTCCTCCTCTCCCCAAACCCTGATCAAATTGCTGCGTCCCCACCAGGAGGTCTCCCCCTGTGCCATAAATACACGTCAGCCAGTGTGTATACCACCCTGCACTTGATTTGTTTTATATTCCACTCCCTCTCCTACTAAAGTGTGAGTTCAAGGACAAGATACTTTAGTGAATGAAAAACCACATTTGCTAATTCTGTATTCATATTAAGAAAATTGTCCATAAAGTTCAATAGGGACAAAACCCAAATCAACCAATATTCCTAAAAACTTAAAAAGTACCAACATTGGGTGTAAACTCATGAAAAATAAACCCTCTTCAGATATGAAAGCCTATCTAAATCCTTTAAGAAGAGAAATCAATAATTAACAAAGATAAATTCCTGCAGAAGAAATTTCAGTAAGAAACACTTTAACAATTTGTACCACTGCACTAAAACTTTCCCAGGAAGTAAAGTTTTTAAACATCTTTGAGCATTTACATGACACACACCAGTATCAGAAATTAAGTAAAGGCTATGCCTCAAAATTCATTGTTTTCCCAATACCAGGAACCCTAAAGACAAACCATTCAATGACATTAAGCGACTCTTGGTCGTTAGCAGGCAGTTCATTTCTACAACTTACCTCTTTTTATTCTTGCTTCCTTAATTTCTTCACAGAGTTTATTAAATTCTGGATCCAGTTCAGCTGCAATGATGGCATGTGCAGTGTCCTTCAGGGTGCAAGCCCTGTGCCTAATTATTTTATCTGTTGAAAAAGTTGGTATACATTTATTACACATACAAATCAAATAACATTAACAATGGGCATCTTAAAAAGAGAAGTAAAAGAATACAAACATTTAAATAAAATTGTAAAAGCATTTCTAGGTGAGAAGTTCATTTACTTGATGAGTAAAAATAAATACAATAAGCTACACAATCAAGTCCATGTTTTTCTGGAAACTATATATACTTCTAGATCTTCAAAGTACTAAGTCTATTTAATAGCTTATTATCTCAAAGATACAAGATTTTATTTTACATTTTTTAAAACAAAAATGCATGTATTTCAATAAAAATTTTAAAAAGATTTAGGATAGCCCTGACCAGTGTGGCTCAGTGGGTTGGTTGGGTGCCATCACACAAACCAAAAGGTCACTGGTTCAATTCCTGATTAGGGCACATGCCTGGGCTACAGGCAAGGCCCTGGTTGGGGGCATGAGAGAGAAAACCAATCAGTTTCTCTTGTACATCAATGTTTCTCTCCTCTTTCTCCTTTCCTTTCCCTGTCTCTAAAAATAAATAAATAAAATCTTAAAAGAGAAAAAGATTTAGGATATTCACCATGTGCCCAACACTAGAGTTCTCACAAATAGATACTGACAATTCAGAAATTCTTTCCTTCATAAGTGAAAACTGGTCAAAACTATGCTGAAGAATATAATATATCCTAAGCAAGGATGGCCTTTAAAAACCATAGCAGAAACAGACAAATACAGCAAGATACTCTAAGAAAAGAATGTGAGTTGGTATAAAAATTGTGGGGAGATCCAGGAGAGAAGTCTATGCTCCCTTCTGGGCAAACTACACCTAACGGTGGTACTGAAGGAAGGGTCTCTGTTTTCCACGAAGCCAGAGGTCCTCATTCATAAACAACATTATGCAAACAGTGTCCTCTAGAGCTGTACAGCTGAGGTGTAAAAGCCAAGTGAATGTAACAAATGCTCTTATTCTGTAACAGCATCAAAAACTAGAACCTAAAGTCTCAAAATAACATCTGCCTTTTCATCTCTAGTAAAGACACAAAGTATAAAGACAAAGACATTTTATTTATAATTTTCTTATTAGAAATTCATAGTTCATTGTGGAAATCTAACAAAAACAAACATGCAGTACTCAAAAGGCAACCACTGGTGTATTCCCTTCTAAAACATTTTCTCTAAACATTCATTCAATACAGATTGTCAACTGTACCAGAAACTGAGTCAGGTGATGGCTACACAGTGGTGAACAAAACAGACACGTCTCCCCTTTCAAGGCACATTTTGGACTAGTACAGGCAAGAGGTATTAACCACATAATCTCTCAGACAAACATATAAACGCCATCTCTACTCCCCACCCCAAAACCCCCGAACAACAGCTACAATGAAAACCTACAGGGTACTGGTGTGGGTGCCAGCTGAGACTGGGCAGGTCAGGAAAAGCCTCTCTGAAACCTGAGACTTGAAGTAGCCACTGGAAGAGTAGGGAAAAACCAGTGCAGGTTCATAAAATACCATGTGAGAAAGTTCCAGAGTAAAAAGATCTCAGAGATTTCAAGAAAATGAAAGGCAGCCGTGTGCTTAGAGCATAATAACAGGCAAATAGAAATTTGACCATAGTTAAAGGCTTTTATTTTAGATTTTATCCTAATAGCAATGAAAAGTTGTTGAAAAGATCCATCCGAGCGGGAAAGTGATGACTTGAATGAACATCTTCTAAAGGTCTTCGAGTTTAATTATGCAGGGTCCGGGAGAAGTAACCCCTGCTTGAGTGTGGTTGGTAGGGTAATAATATGGATGTAATAATTTATAGTTTTAATTTGAACATTTCACCTAAAATGGCATATGGTATGCTGGAATGTGGTAATGTTGTATTACAGAACTATATGCTTTATGAAATAACCCTCTTTATCCCAGGTAATATAGCCTTTGGTATGAAATCTACATTGGTATGAAATCTACATTGGTATTTATATAACCATACCAGCTTTCTGTAAATCCTTGGTTATAAGACTCCTCGTCAGCTAGTCCTCGGTTGGTTATGCAGGTTGACTGCTCTGCATTTCAGCTGTAATTCCAGTCTGGCCCTGGGGGGAGGTGAGTGCAGCTTCCGTCTACTCTGCCACCATCCTGGATCTGCCTCAACCATTTACTTTTAATATGACTTATGTGATTATCAATTTGGTTCCTATTTCTTCCCTTTTTCATCTTTCTCTTGCTTGTTTAAGATGGTATATTTTTTTAATGTTTCCATTTTATCTCCTTGTTGGCTTATTAGGTCAATTTGCTACACTATCACTAGCCGTGGTGAGCTTCAACTATCCCCTCTCTTTCTCAGGTCTCGGATAGCTTCCTCACAAGTATATACTGATGCCCGGAGAAGGGTCTCCTGCACATCTTCAGAGTGCTCTCTCCACACAACTCTCTTCTTTCTGGTACTCTGCCTTGAAATCTCTACCACTTTGGCCTCCTTATATTCCCAGTTGTCTTTCTTATTAAGGGTGAATTGCAGGCTCCACCTGGGTTTTCCTTCCCGTGCCATAGTCTGGAAACTTTCCAGGTTAACTATAGTGCTCACCTTGTTAGTTTCTCATCTTTTGGTAATGACTTTCCTTCATTTCCTGATATCCAATGTCTTTAAATCCATTGTTTTTTCACATATTTTCTTGTTTTCCTTTTCTTCATTCTTTGAAAACCAAACTTTAATGACTATGTAACAATCCAAAGTAGGATATACCTTTATTTTGAAGCCTTTTCCTCTACTGTTTTTTTAAGTATATTTTATTGATTATGCTATTATAGTTGTCCTAATTTTTCCCCTTTGCCTCCTCCATCAGGTACCCCCTTTCCTCCAGCAATGTCCCCTCTTAGTTCATGTCCATGGGTCATATGTATAAGTTCTTTGGCTTTTCCATTTCCTATACTATTCTTAACTTCCCCTTTCTATTTTGTACCTACCATTTATGCTTCTTAATTCCTGTACCTTTCCCCTATACTCTTCCTTCCCCCTTCCCAGCTGATAACCCTCCATGTGATTCCATTTCTAGGATTCTGTTCCTGTTCTAGTTGTTTGCTTAAGGTTTTTTGTGGGTTTTTTTTAGATTCAGTTGTGGATAACTAAGTTTGTTCTCATTTCATTATTCATAGTTTTGATCTTCTTTTTCTTAAATAAGTCCCTTTAACATTCCTTGTAATAAGGACTTGGTGATGATAAACTCCTTTAGTTTTTTCTTGTCTGGGAAGCTCTTTATCTGCTCTTCCATTCTAAATGACAGCTTTGCTGAATAGAGTAATCTTGGTTGTAAGTCCTTGCTTTTCATCACTTTGAATACTTTTTGCCAGTCCCTTCTTGCCTGCAAAGTTTCTTTTGAGAAATCAGCTGATAGTCTTATGGGAACTCCTTTGTAAGTGACTCTCTGCTTTTCTTTTGCTGCTTTTAAGATTCTTTAACTTTTGGCATTTAATTATGATGTGTCTTGGTGTGACCCTCTTTGGGTCCAATTTGTTTGGGAGTCTCTGTGCTACCTTGACTTGTATGTCTACTTCCTTTGCCAAATTAGGAAAGTTTTCTTTCATTATTTTTTCAAATAAGTTTTCAATTTCTTGCTCTTTCTGTTCTCCTTCTGGCATCCCTATGATTCAGACATTGGCACGTTTGATAATGTGCCAGTGCCTTCTTATTCTGTTCTTGGTTTTGTGGGGGCGTTGAATTCTTGTTTCTTTATTTTGTAATGACTGACTGTTTATTTCTTCCTTATGTTCCAAATCCTTGATTTTAACCACAGTTTTCTTCCCTTCACTGTTGATTCCCTGTGGATTTTTCTTAGTGTAGACTTCATTTTTTCCCTTATGTGTGTGCAGTACTCAGTTCTCTGAGCATCCTTATCACTAGTGTTTTGGATTCTGCATCTGATAGGTTGGCTATCTCCATTTCGCTTAAGTCTTTTTCTGGAGTTTTGATCTGTTCTTTCATATGAGCCATATTTCTTTGTCTCCTCAATTTGGCAGCCTCCCTGTGTTTGTTCCTGTGTATTAGATAGAGCTGTTTTGACTCCCTGTCTTGGTGCACCTGCTACATTGTAAGGGGCGGAGCCTTAGGTATTCACCAGGGTGAGGCAACCCACTTCACCCGCTTTGTGGAGTTGTATGTGGGGGAGGGGTTAGAGAGGAACAATGCTGCTTGCTCAGCTCTCGGCCACCTTTCCAGTCACTTCCCCCACTTCCCGTGGGCAACTGATACCCTTCTAGCTGCTGTCCTGGTGCTGAATACCGGAGTGCGTGGGTCTGCCTATGATCTAGGACTGTGCGGGTCCTTTAAACAGACGCTGAGAGACTGGCAGTTTCTTCAGCTGCCCCAACCCCCACCGGTTTTTACAGCCAGGAGTTAGGAGGTTTTATTTTCCCAGTGCTGGAACTTGGGGCTGTGTAGTCTGGCCTGGGGCTGGGATTGTTTGCTGCCCAGGTGTCCCTCACAGTTTTTATCTGCCACACGTGAATGTGGAACTACCTGTTCCACCAGCCAGCGCCACCACCTTGCTGCTACCGCCTCACCACGACCACACTGCATCCTCTCTGCTCCAGCTCCCCATCTCCACCCCTCCTACCTGTCTGCATGAATATTTCTTCTTTAAATCCTTGGTTGTCAGACTTCCATACAGTTTGACTTTCTGGCAGTTCTGCTTGTTTTTTAGCTGTGATCCTTCTTATGGTTGTGTGAGGAGGTGAAGCATGTCTACCTATGCCTCCATCTTGGCTGGAAGTTCTCTACCGTTAAATGTTTTAGTCACTACAAATAAGAGGGCTACAAATGAACATCTTTAAAAGTAGCTATGTTTTCAAGCTGATAGGGAAGTGGATGAATTTCCCACCACTCCTTCACAGGCACTGTTCTCCAGCCGTATTACCTCTTTTATGCCTTTGTGTACTGGCTACACACCTCCTTTCTTGACCTAGGATGAGTGCCCTTCCTGGTTTCATTCATCCCCAGGCAGCACCTTTCTCTC